CAGTCAAAAAAATGATTTTATGTGTTTTAATAAGTTGAAAAATGTATAAACAAGTACATTATTGTATTGAAGTTTTTAAGCTTATTGCTCTAATTCTTAATTCAGTCTACTAAAATAATATTACAAATCTATACAATATAATTTATATATTTAAAAATCACACCAAATAATCAATAAGCAAGATATGATATATATCTATGTATTAGGTTGAGAATGTATGAACACAAACATCCTTGTAATAAAGTTTTTTAATCTTACTGCGCTGATTTTTAATTTAGTCTACTAAAATAATATAATAAAATATATACAATAGAATTTATATTTTTAAAAATAACTTTAAATAATCAATAAACTTTATCGATTTTAGTTCTAATCGGTTTTGAATATTATCGGTTTCGAGTATTATCGATTTGAGATCTAATCGGTTTCGGGTTTAATTGGCTCAGAAATGATCGGTTTTATATTTAAATCATATATTAATTATTTAGTTCGGTTTTGGTTTGATTCAGATCATTTCGAATTCTAGGTTATAGATCGAATCTTCATTTTTCAGATCATTTCGATTTCGATTCCGAATAATTTAGTTCGAGTAATCGGTTGTAGTTCTGTTCTAACAGGTCTAGCTAGATCTTGGATAGCGAGTAAGATCACATCATGGGTTGTTGAAGACATGCTCGCATTCACTAAATGAAAACCTTGGAACAATCAAATTGAAATATACTCCCTCCGTCCCAAATTATTTGTCACATTTCTATTACTGAGGCAAAATATTAAGTTTTTTCAATTCATTTTATTTACATATTGGTAAAGAAATAAAAAATAAAAATTACATATCAAAATACTACATGAAAAGTTTTTCGAAATAAGAGGTGTCAAGAATATTTTATTTTATCAAATAACCAACAAAAACGTAAAAATAAACAAAAGTTCCCGCGACCGTTGAAAAAGCAAATGTGGTAAATAATTTAGGACGGAGGGAGTATCATTACCAATTGAAATCCCAAGATTGGACCAAGTACAGCTTGGAACTAATATACTATCTCTTGGAGCATATGAACCTATGGTGACAAATTGGATGATTAATATCATCACTGCAACTAAGTTCCAATTTGGATCTATTTGTGTCACGGCAACAAGAAGCTAGCAAATTGGTTTGGAGTAAATAAATTTTTTTTGGGCTAAAAAAGAATGAATGCACCAATTGATACGATAAACGTATTAGACATGAGAAAAGATTAAGAATCGGAGAAGTAGAAGAATTGGGAGATGAGGTGAACGAAAGGAGATCAGTCAGGCTTTAAGAAAATGATTTCTGTATTGATTGAAATCCCGAGTACTTATATAGATTCCAAAATCCTACTCCCTCCGTCCCTAAATAAAATTCCTCTTTCATTTTTTCTTTGTCCCTAAATAAACTTCTCTTTTCCCTTAAAAAACCCCTTTTACCCCTTATTTTTTCATACCCTACCTATCACATCATACCTTTTTACTAATAATCTACCTATCACATCTTACTTTAACACATCACATCAAGGGTATTTTTGGAAAGTCAACACCAAAATATCCCTTCCTTAAATTCTCAAAAAGTCAAAAATGGAACTTTATTTAGGGACGGAAGGAGTAAAACACTTCAAACTCTAAAAGGTAACTAATTAAAAGAAGAAACTAATTAATAATAATACTCCCAAATAATAATAGTAAGAATAATAATACAGCATAAATGATGATACTACCTAATATGGAGTAATAATTAACTAACCAAACATTAATAATACTCCAAAATAATAAAAAATAGTCTCATAAAACTCACTGCCATATCCGCGATTCAAGACTCTTGTGTCCAATTCAAGATTCCTCTCGTTTCACATGGATTAACATGAGGGAGATGTAAGACAATAATAACACTAGTCTTAATTTTGATAGTGTTAATTAGTATTTGAGTCAACTTCTAGTATTATTAGGTTGACTCATAATTATGTCAGGATTGCTCCTTATTTTTTTGAGTTGTGTTATTATAGTTCTAAGTTCTACATTTTGAATATAGACCTTCTTACATATTTTTATGGCTTGTAGTTGGACCTCATTTGTTTTACAAGGCTCAATATATTTAATTATTTCATGTCTCAAGGTTTATATAATTAATATGGACCTAAGGACCACAAAAATTTTTACCTATTTTCTTTGAGTAAATCTATTATTATTCTATTATTTAACAAATTTTACTTTGTTCAGTTTTCATATCACTATGTGTTCCCAAAATAGTGTGACCAATTAAGAGGTGCTTTTTAATATTTTACTCGTATTATATTTTCATGTAAAATAAATAATGTTATAAATTTTACTTCCTCCGTCTCGTAAAATTAAACTTTATTTAACTTTCTCATCTTTCATGTTTCATAAAGTATTTCAATTTCACCTAAAAGGACACAATAACGTTTTTTTAAAATCTAACCGAGTCTACCCCAAGTATTTCTTACGCCCTATCCATTTTGGCATTTCTCGAGCCCTACTTCTTTCAATTATTATCGTTTCTCCTTAGTCAAACTCTTACACTTTCCCTTTCTAAAAGTCAAAGAGGAAAATGTTTTTCGTGACGGAAGGAGTAATTTTTTAAAACAAAAAAATAATTAATCCTTTTGCATTGATATCATTGATTGAGGCATGAATAACTTATTTGTGAATGGTACATATATAATGGAGTGCACACAAACAAAATCATCACACGCAGCTTGGCCACGCATATCATAATTAATTATTGCAATATTGCATTGCTTGTTACTATCCTATACTATAATAATGCTAATGTGGGGAATGTATATATGATTAAGTGAAATAATGAACCCTTAATTGTGAATGGAAACTAATAAGTCCGTTTGGGAAACTAATTTGGCCGCTCAATACATTTTCTACGTGTGTACGTATGGACCCTAAATAGTAAGGGATAGATGTCCTAATTGTTAAATGTGATTCAAATCAATTGACGCATAAGCCAATAATCAAGGGAGTCATTATGTATGTGGTGCAAGTTGGCCGGGTGCATCATCCATTGCACCATGCAAATGACGTGACCACAATTATTATATTTTTCTCATATTTTTGTTTGTTACTTATGTCATAAATTATAAAAATATCATATTTCAAAACTACGTTTGGAATGAATCTACGTATCAAATTTATTTCACAATTCAATATGTTTTTTCCGTAATTTACAGTCAAAATTTAAAAACATTAACCGTGAAAGTCAAAATGACAAGAAAAATATGAAAGGAAGGACCGGAAGGGTATTAAATTGTTGTTATTATTTGATTTTTAGACCACTTTCTCTTTCATTTTTCTTCCATTTCTCTCAAACACTTTTATTTTTTATTAAAAAACTATTTTTATTCTTACTTTTTTACCCTACCTATCAAATTATACTTTTTTTACTAATAATCTACTTATCAAATTTTATTTCTACCTATTACATCAGAAACAAAATTGAAAAAACAACCATAAATATAGACTCGTTGTTTTGGCCTAAAGTCAAAATATGAATCATTTAAGAAAAGGGAGTAATTTATTGCTTTCGAAGTAATCGTTTGATCAGTCCTATTCTGAATTCTCCTATAGGCCTAGGAACGTTTATACCCTTTATTTCTCTTAATTTTGGGCTTGTTCTTTAGAGTTTGAAATCTTAAATTCCAGTTTCTTCTAGTTTCTTCCAGTTCTTTCCAGTTTCTTCTAGTTTCTTTCAAATTCTTTCAGTTTTTTTCAGTTTTTTTCAGTTCCTTCCAGTTTTTTCTAATTTCTTCCAAGTATATTTATTTTCTTCAAATTCTTTCTACTTTCTGACAAATCACTCTAAAAATATATATTATTATTATTACAACCTTTTTTAATTACAACTTTTATGTTCATAAATATAATTTATAAATTATTTCATTTTTTCATCTCACTATTTTTATGATTCACATTCATTCTTCCAGTTTCTTCAACTTTTTAATATGAATAATACTGTTTTTTTGTATATTAATCTACATGAAAAATTAGGAAAATATTTAAAAAATTATGGATAAATAGTTATATAGAATATTTTTTAATCTAAATTTATATAAGGTAAATTACATTTAAGAGCCTGGAAGAATAATATTATGAAAACCAAGAGAAAACTACATTTTGAAAAAGAAAAAATGACCCAAGAAGTGTAATATTTATGCTAATTTTATATTCTAATTATTTTTTTAAACTAGCTTTTTATATATGAAAAATAATACTCGTAATATTTTTCATCTTAGAGACAATCATTAAGATAACGTGATAACACTACCACCACCACCAACAACAACAACAACAACATGAATAATAATAATAATAATAATAATAATAATAATAATAATAATAATAATAATAATAATTTATAACAACAACAATCAGAATGAGAATAATATAAAACCATACATAAATTTTTTTAAAAAAGTTTTTTAAGATTTTTAAAGTTTTTCTAGATTTTTCAGTTTCTTTAAATTTTTTTCAGTTTTCCAATTTCTTCAATTCCCGTTTCTTCCAGTTTCTTCTAATTTATTCTAGTTCCTTCCAGTTCTTCCAGTTTCTTCTAGTTTCTTCCAACATCTAGCTCTTTTTTTCAGTCCTAAAGAACAGGCCTTTGGTCAATGTTATCACTTATCACCACCATGCTACACTTACATCAAAAAATGTATCCCAAAGTTACATCAAAGTATACACTAACATTTTGATGATTCACATTGGTACAAAATGATGGTGCGTTAATAAAAATTTGTACTAATATTTTGTGTATGTGTGAACTCTCAGCCTAACATTACACTGAGACAAAATGAAGATGCAAACCTGCGGTGTACAAATTGGGATACAAATAATTAATCCATGTTATCAATAGGGAGATGTTCTTCGCTTTTAATTATTCCCTCCATTCAAAAACTTATCTCCTCGTTGTGCGTTACGATATCTGACTGAAGATAATTTCAAATCATTTTATATGAAAAATGATGCAGATTCTTTTCTTTGAATAAATACACATATTATTAAACAAACCATGTCTCACAACCAGTACAACACCAAGCCATACAGCAGGCCAACAACAATATACTACCAACTTCTACATCAAGTAATTAGATCTTAATTTAAAGTTAATGAAGACTTTGATCTGATTCCTAACAAAAGCACAACATTCTTCAGTTGAAACCTCCCCATGTTGTTTGATCTTCTTGTTCCTTGCCCTCCATACAACTTAGCAGACAGCTGCATACGCAGCTATCACAATCTGCCGTTGCTTCCTCCCTCGAATCTTCCAGCGCATTCGTTCTGCCATTCCCTATCATTTGCTTCATTTCATTTATATCTGATCCAACTGCCAATATCATTTCGCACTTCTCTAGTAAATCTAGATTCATAGAGCATATGATCTCTATCTTCAATTGCATTCATACAGAGAACACAATTAAGGTCAACATCCATGAACTTGCTAAGCTTGGCTTTGGTGGGAACTCTATTCCTCCACTTTACCCACAAAATATCATTTTTATTCGATATATACCAAATGATCGAGTCTTTGATTACATGCATAGTTTCAGTTACATAGGTTCTTAAACCCTAGCTATCTAAGAAATGGGCCCATCTAAGTATTTGAAAGGCAGTTCTCCTTTATTCATATTAGTCATTTTAAATATTTCCACTTCTTCATGCTCATGCATTCCTCCTACTACCATCTAGGACTTAGAGCAGTTAACCTCCAATCATGTCGTAGTCCTGAAATGTTCAAAACAATCAAGTATAGTTTGAACAAATTCCTTGTCTGCTTTACATACCACAATCAAGTCATCAACAAACGCCAAATTAATAATTTTAAGAGCTTTACACATAAGATGATATTGGAATCTATTCTTATTGGAATACACCTTCAATGCCCTAGTCAAATATTCCATGATCAGAGTGAAAATGAGGGAAGATATAGGATCCCCATGTCTGATTCCTTTGCCTCCATTAAAAAACCCAACATTTTCTTCATTCAACATTATAGAATAAGAAGTACTAGAAATAAAAAAATTTACCCAATCAATGTACCTGCTTGGGAATCTCTTGGCCTCGATGATTCCTTTTATGGTTTTCCAAATTAAATAGTCATATGCTTTCTTAAGATCAATCTTTAGTAAACACCTAGGAGATATCCTTTTCCTATTATATCCCCTAGCAAGTTCATGGCATAAGAGAACATTGTGCACTAGCTCCCTCCCCTCTATAAATACTCCTTGGTTAGGATTGATAATAACTCGTAGAACCTTCTTCAGTTTGGAGCTCAGTTTCTTTGAAATAATTATCTTATACAGGACATTGCAAAAAGAAATTGATCTAAAATCAGCCACAAACATAGGAGATTCCGTCTTTAGGATAAGAATAATATTCCTCTTTCTTTTTTTTGGAATTTTTTGTGGCTCACATTTTCTCTTTCCTCTGAAACACTTTTAACTACATAGTTTCATTTTTTCTTAAACTTCGTCTAAATCAAAATTAAGAACATTAAATTGGGACAGAGGGAGTGTATGAGGCTATAATTTTTTTTAGTAAAGTTCAATTACTAGAAGGATAATTGACCTAAATAAGACTAAAACTTAATGACTTTCTCAATATAACACCATATATTTTTATTTCCCTATGTAAGACCATTGGTCATTATCTATTAATCATTATTCAAGTAAATGTCCAGCATCACTTGGACATTATACTTTTCACTAGTCATTATTAAGTCTTATTTAGGAAATAAAAAAATTTAAGTCCTACATTGAGAAATGACTTATCTTTTAGTCCTATTCATTGCAAATTTCACTTAGTAGCTAGAAACAATCTTGTATGTGAATGTACTTTTGAATTTAATATCAAGATATATCAAATCTTAATTAACTCGGCCTCTTAGGTTTAAGTTCCACCAAAGACTCGTAGAAACTTAGGGCACTAGCAATGATTGTAAATATTTGTAACGTCTGGGGGCGTCACTGTCATTTTAATGCAGGAGGGGTGTTAAACACCGCCCCTTGAGAATTCATTCGATTGTCATTCCCACCGCATCAAACCTTTAACGGACGCTTTTGCAGCGAGCCTCTCCATTCAAACGGCTACGACTTCAGAGGTACTTCCAGTGCTCTTAGATTTTGATATATGGAAATATTCAAAACTAATCGATCAAACGAAATGGATCCATAAAATGGAGTTCATCGGTGGATCTCATTTTGTTTTTATTGAATAAAAATTAAACAGGAAAATTGAGAAAACAAAAAATAATTAAAGGAAGCAAGAAAATTTGGATTGATCCTCTCACTCATCAATTTCTGGGAAGGATCAGCAGCCAGCAAGGAAGCAAGCACGGTGTAGCAACAACGCTGCACCATCGCCGGTCAGTGGGGACCGCACCCTTTTGTGTATCTTTCTTTCTATCTCCTAAAATGACTTTGTACTGAGAATGGCAAATATGCACAGCTCACACCTCTCCCTTTAAATACCATAATTTGTAGGCCGGTGCACGCAGTTCATCATTACTCTTCTCGAAATCGATATCAATGTTACTATTACGATCTCTCGATAACTTTTGATTTTTTAAATATATTTTTATAGATAATTTGATAAAATAAAATACTCAACACTTCTTGTTTTATAGAATTTTTATATACTTTTAAACGGTGTAATTTATATTTTTTATTTGTATACTAATTTGTAATTAAAATGATTGATTCTAAAAACGATGATATTTTACATGTTTGGAGTGTGACATTCAATATATATGGGACGGAGGGACTACAATTTTTTGAAAATTGAACCAGATGTTGACACAAACAAGCGAGTGGGTTAAGACTTAACCGTTTGAATCGAACAAACTCGGGTCAACGAACCAGTCAACTATGATTAAAATTGTACTCCGTAATACTTTATATTATATGGAGTACAAAGTATTACTTAAAAATTTAAATTAATAAAAATATTTTAATTCATTTTTAAGCTTCTTCATCTAGTTTTATGTGTTTTATACTCCCTCCGTCCTATAATGTTCTTTCCGGTTCATTTTACGAGATTTGACCGACTTTATTTTCAATTCAATTTATTTGATTGTAGGTATAAAATTAAAAAAATAAAATTTATATATTTAAAAACTACATCAAATGTTCTACAAAACAAGTGGTAACAAGACTATATTATTTTATCAAATATCTAATGAAAATAGGTAAAGAAAGTGATTAAAGTTTGACCGGGTAAAAAGTGAGTGAGAAGAACATTTTAGGACGGAGGGAGTATATATTATTTTTTTTTGTGTAAGGAAGAGGGAGTATATATTATAGTATAACATTTTAATTAGACTTGTATTTAGTTGATTAAAAAGAAAAAAATAAGCGAAAAAAATAAATTGTAGCATATTAATTAAGTTATCTTACTCCGTGTACAATTATTAAATATTGCTCCACACTAAATTTTTAAAGATGAAAATAATTTTTTAGATATAAATTATTTATATTTACTTTTCAATACAAAATAAATAGAGTGAGGGTGGAAGATTGGAAACGGGTTCCGGGTGGGATTGTACTCAGGTTTGGGCACTAGGTAGATACGTAGAGAGGTGAGAAATCGGGTGGAGGGCCCAATGGATGGTGTCTGGCGGGTAGGTGTGTATTCTTTAGGACTAGAAAAAAAGAGCTGGATGTTGGAAGAAACTGAAAGAAACTGGAAGGAATTGGAAGCAACTGGAAGAAACTGGAAAAATCAAAAAAAAGTTTTACAAATTTTTTATGTGTGGTTTTATATTATTCTCATTCTGATTCTTGTTGTTATAAATTATTATTGTTGTTGTTGTTGTTGGTAGTAGTGGTGTCATCACGTTATCTTAATGATTGTCTTTAAGATAAAAACATATTATTATTTTTCATATGTAAAAAGCTAGTTTAAAAAAATTAATTAGAATATAAAATTAGCATAAATATGAAAATGTTAAATATTTAAGAGTTATTATATATGGCTATGTTTCATTTATTATAAAATAATATATTTGTAATATAATTTATATATTACAAGATTTTATTTTAAATATACGACATATCACATAATGTAATCAAACCTATTTTTTATTTAATAATTGACAATTTATTTGCATTGTAACCCTACTTTTAGAATAAAGACATAGAACTTTTTTTACATTCTTTTATGTTTTACTCCTACATTAGTCATTTTTTCTAAAGTATTTTGACTTTCAATTTTTTTTATAAAAATTAGAAAAATAAAAAACAAAACTAATTTTTGAAATAAATTAAAATGAGAAAGAATTGAGTAATAAAGACCAACGCAATGGGTATTTTAGATTAAAATATTGATGTTTATCTTATATAAATTTAGATTAAAAAAAATTGTACATAACTATTTTATCTATAATGAAGGTGTATCATAAAAATAGTGAGATGAAAAAATGAAATATTTTATAAACTATAGTTATGAACATAATAGTTGTAATAATAATAATAATAATAATATATTTTTTAGAATGATTTGTCAGAAAGTAGAAAGAATTTGAAGAAAATAAATATAGTTGGAAGAAACTAGAAAAAACTAGAAAAAACTGGAAGGAACGGGAAGAAACTAGAAGGAACTGGAAGTTAAGAGTTCAAGCTCTAAAGAACAAGTTCTAAATAAAAACTGAACCATCCGAAAGTTCGGTTTCGACTATATATAATAGAAAATGTCAGTTAATTTGGTTGGTTTTTGCCTTTTGTTTTATATAATTTTTATATACTTTTAAATGGTATAATTTATACTTTTATTTCTATACTAATTTTTATTAAAATGACAGATTCTAAAAATGATGAGATTTTGCACGTTGCTTGGAGTGTGTCATCCAATATGGGACGGAGGGAGTACAATTTTTTTAAAAAATTGAACCAGATGTTGACCCGAACAAGCGAGTGGGTTAAGAGTTAACTATAATTAAAATTATAATATTTTATATTATACGGACTCTTATAATTTTAAATTAAAAAAATATTTTAATTCATTTTTTCACTTCTTCATCTAGTTTAATGTGTTTTATATATTATAGTACTACCTCCGTTTCTCAAAAGAGTTCCTCTTTTGACTTTGGGGAAAAATAAGGAAGTGTTAAATTGTAGTTGACTTTCCAATTTTGCCCTTGATGTGATAGGTAAAAGTAAGATGTGATAGTTTAGTTGTTAGTGAAAAAGTATGATGTGATAGGTAGAGTATGAAAAGGTAGGGTTAAAAGTGGTTTTTTAATAGAAAGGGGAAGTGTTTTAAGAAAAACAAAAAAAATGAAAGAGGAAGGGTTTTAAGAAACGGAGGGATAATAGACTTATATTTAGTTGATTAAAAAGAGAAAAGACAAGCAAAAGAAATAAATTGTAGATGATATGGTAAGAGTTAAACTAATGGTTCAATCCTCCTGGCCTCCACTTTTCTATTATTACTTAAAATTAAAAAAAAATTGTTTTATATCCAGAGTCACCCGATTCATCGGCCCAGTCTCACGGGTTTTGGGTGTGTGAACTAGAAAACAATGAGAAAGGAAGAAGTGTGGCATACATCTCTCTAAGCCAGTGCGATGAAGAAGCTCAATGTCATACTTTTTTCTGGGAAACAATGAGAAAGGAAGAGGTGTGGCATACCTCTAGGCCAAGAAAATAATGAAGAGGACCAAGATCTTTTGTGTGAAACTCACCATATATGCGAGTAATAATTTTTTGGGCAAGATCAGAAGAGCTACCTATGATAATATTATCATCAACATTCACAAGTAAAACTAGAGTACCAGTAAACTAATGCAAAATAAAGAGACTCGTGTCATGCAGAAGCCATACACCAACAAGAAAGCTGATAGTCGTTGGTACCATGCACGCGGAGCCTGCTTGAAGCCATAGAATGATTTTGTGAGTTTACAGAAGTGATGCGGGAATGTGCGTCGACATAGCCCGGGGGTTGTGTCATGTATATATCTTCGTCAACTTCATCATGCAAAAGGGCATTGGAGAGTGGTCAACCAAAAAACAGAAGAGTAAAAATAATACGAATAATCTGTTGTTTAACAACGAGACTAAAAGTCTCCAAGTAATTCAATTCATATTCTCGAGTCTAATGCTTGGGCACAAGGTGCACCTTATAGCACGAGACACACCCATTTGCATTATGCTTAATGCGATTTGCGAAACCCAACTCACTTTGGTTAGTATACCGAAGCGTTAGCAAATTGGTAAAGTGACATCTATAATTTGAGAAAAACATTTTAATAATAATAATAATTATAATTTAAACCATTCAAAACATCAATATCATAAATAGTTTCGGAGTAGGAATTACAAATGTAGCAGAAGCTAAATTAAGTTAAAAGGTACATACATGGGCACGAGACCCAAAAAAGTTTAGACTTAAATGAAATTTGAAAATAAGATAGCATTATTCCCACACCATGCCGCTATATCTTCCGCCTCAGCATCCTCCGTGATCGGCTCCATCATGTTTCTTACCTACGCATAGTCACACAACAAAGGAAACTGTATGCTTAGCAAAACCGTTCAGTGGTACCACAATGTAACTTCTATTGAATAATTCATAATCATACACATGCAAGTCAAGATGAATCACCATGAGAAAGTCAACCATTCCATTTTCATAATTCAATTATATTTACTAAGAGATAGGTTACATCTTTATCATTTTACATAGTTTAGTCCCCTTAATCCACACGATTCCATGGAGTCATTCCCCGTAGAGAAAGGACTCGATAAGACTTTCCCTGTCTGAGTATGGGTCCAAGCGCCCTTCTCTTCAGATTTAGAATTTGGTCTGTGAACTTTCCCAGTTTGGGTATAAATACTCTTCTGGTTCTGTACACACGGGTTGAGTGATTCCCGGGTGCCTGATCCATTCTAGGAATTTATGTACGTATATACTAACCACTTGAATCGCCCATAGCTAAACTCTCAACCTTAATCATTAAACCCCAAAAGTAAATTGTTATGTTTCCATCATACCACCATCCTTAATCAATTTACATCATATTAAACAATTACACAAAACTAGGCTACTGTCCAAAATTCGAAGCTACTGGGTGAGGGACGATTGACCGTTTTGGGACCACGGTCGATTGTTGCTGAAACAGTTTGGGTACACTATGACTGTAGACCGTGAGGAGGCACAATCGACTGTTGCGTCTCATGGTTTTAGTGGGGTTCAACATGAACAACAACGACGATTAAAGGCTTGGATCGTGGAAAGTAACGGAGGACCGTTGTGTCGGTGGAGTAAACCCTTTTGCGTGAACAATGTGGACGGTTAACGGTGACTGACTGTTGCTGACCGACAATCAACCGTCCGAACTGCAGTAGCGGCCTCTTCCTTTAGGCGGTCCACCAAGTTGACCGTTCCACTAGGCAGTCAGCTGTGTCGAACTTAGTGGTCTGCTGCGTTTTCGGGATGCGAGTTCCAAAGTCCATTTCTACTTATACTTGTCTCCATTTTTATCAACATGAGATAGTTATAAGCTGATATAACATTCAAACATCGTAGTTTCGACAAAAGGTTCATAGAAATGTTTTCGTAGCATATTTTCCAGAATTACGGGAAAAACGATAACAACTATGAGGTTGTATGTATATGTCTATATATATATATATATATATATATATATATATATATATATATATATATATATATATGGGATTGACTCTAGTGAGATGACATGTTATGGTCAGATGACGCAAATCTCACCACTGGCCACTGCAAAGCTAACCAAGAACAACTACAAAGCTCACCAAACTGTAAGGCAAAGCTCACCATATTTTTAAACACTTTGAATTTTTTTTGAAAAAAAATCAAAGGAAGGGGTGCTGACTAGACTTTGACCATTGACCGTTGACAATCACCAGCGACCCCCTGCCGCCGCCGACCACCGCCGACCTCCGCCGCCAGTCGCCGGTCTCCGCCGACCACCGCCGACCTCCGCCGCCAGTCGCCGGTCTCCGCCGACCACCGCCGACCACCGCCGCCGGTCTCCGCCGACCACCGCCGCCGGTTTCCGCCGCGCCGCCTCCGCTGACCGGTGGTTGACCGGTATTGATATTTTATTTTTTATTAATTTTTTAATTTTCAAAATTAAAAAAAAAGGTGAGTTTTGGTGTTCAAAGTGGTGAGCTTTGCTTTATTTCCAGGTGAGCTTTACATATGCCAATGGTGAGCTTTGCAGTGTAATGTGGTGAGCTTTGCATCATCTCACCGAAGCATGTCATTTCACTGTAAGGTGTCATCTCACTGGAGTCAATCTCTCTCTCTCTCTCTCTCTCTCTCTATATATATATATATATATATATATATATATATATATATAATTAACGGATATTAAATGATAGGTTTTTTCATCCTTCGTGCCTGAGAACATTTTTCCTTTGTTTTTTCATCCGTCTCAAAAACAGTTCTCGTTTCTATTAAAAAGTTACTTTTACCCTCACTAATTCTTAATCTATCTATCACATCACATCTATTTACTATTAATTATACATCAAATTTTATTTTTACCCATCACATCAAGAACATTTTAAAAACTTAACAACAAATAAAATACACTTCTCTAGTCCCTTAAAAATCAAAACTTCTCATGATTTTAGGGTCAGAGGAGCATGAGATTTTAATTAAAAGTGAAAGTGTGTTTATTGAAAAAAATAAATAAAAGTGATATTGATTTGTGAAATCCATGAAATAAAGCAAGAGAGAAGCCAAAAAGGTGGCTAGTAAATGTAAAAGCAACAAAATTTGTTCCATGAGTGTTTGAAAGACAGAATTACAATATGTTAAATGAAAAGACCAAAGACATGATAAAAGCATTTAAAAAAAAAAGAGAAGAGGATTCTATCACGAAGAATATCCAACCATCTCAAACATTGGAATTCCATTTGTATTAGCCCTATTTACAGATTTAAGAATATACTTAAACTCACAGCACACTCATCATCATCACATTGGAATATATAACTTTATAATAAAAACAATTAAAACTTCAAGAGAACTGCCCAAACGCAGCATGAAGCCTCTGTAAATGCTTACTGTTATACATGGCTTGACTCTGTTGCCAAGCAGCAGTTGCAGCATTATTATTATTATTACTACTCAACAATGGAGATGATGAGCCTTGAGTGTATGCTGTGAACTGCCCTTGGGACTTCACTTCATTATTGTACAAATCTTGATGGTTATTGGAGAAGGCTTGACTCTGTACGGCGCCGCCCCCGAGAAGGAACGGCGCGTGGAGATACTCCGACGACCATCTGACCTCATCACAATCGCTCCCTTTCTCCGTCTTCCCTTCCGCCCCGACCCCCCACGAAAACGCGCTGTTTTCGAAGAAAGAAGAGTTGGGTAATTCCACGTGGTGGGGCACGCCGTGATGAGCTACGGCGGGGTTGAGCTTCGCGACCATCGGATCCGAGGACTTGAAGAAGAAGCCGAGGTTGTTGTTGTTGGAGTTGTGCAGAGGAAATGGCGAGTAGTTCAGCAACGACAGGTAGCCCGAAAAATCGGACGACGGCTTGTCGAGGAAGAACTCGTGCTCGGTGGGCCCCACCGGGGCGAGATATCGGCCCTCGCCCATCGCAACCTGCTGCTGCAGGGGCGGCGCAGCGGGCTGGTGATGGGACGACAGTTTTTCCGAAACATTTCCTGGCGCTACAAACACGTGGTCATTGTAATTACTAGTGATGTTGTTATTATTCATGCAGCTATCAGATTCTGCATAGTTCAGCTCACTTGACCCTTCTGATAATGCTAGCTTCTCGTTGTTGTTGTTTAAGGATGTTTTTTCATCACTCTCAACCTCGGACAATGGCTTGTGTGTGTTCGGGTCAATCCCCTTCTGCCTCAGCTTCTTCTTGATCGACGAGTTCCACAGGTTCTTGATCTCGTTGTCCGTCCTCCCGGGCAATCTCGCCGCGATTTGCGACCACCTGAAACGGAATCACGTTTAATTATTACTTTCGCATTACGAATCATTTCGAATTGTAAAAAAAAGAAAAATTTACTCAAGGCGCATTTGCAGTCAACGTTTAACAACTTTGACCAAAAAATGTCAAACGTGAAGAGAAATTTTAACTTTTGGGTATTATTATAAAGAGTAAAAAAATGAATGAGCGTAGATGTAATGTATGTCTACATTCATTCATTCGTTTTTTGAGTGCATCAAAAAAGTTGATGATGAGACAAATTAAAGAGAACACAAAGAGAGTGTTAGTTTATTTTCATTCGTTTTTTGAGTGCATCAAAAAAGTTGATGATGAGACAAATTAAAGAGAACACAAAGAGAGTGTTAGTTTATTTATTTGTGGAAAAAGAAATGACAGTCTTACTTGTTGCCTAGAACTGCATGGAGTTCAATTATCAAATTCTCCTCTTCATGGGAAAATGTGCCTCTTTTCAAGTCAGGCCTCAGGTAGTTAATCCACCTCAGCCTGCAACTCTTCCCACACCTCTGAAGACCTGTGATACATTATTTATTTTTTAGATTTCAATTAATTTTCTTGAATTTCATTTTCCTTCCCAATTTTTAAGAAAGAAAATTGATATAAAAAAGAATTATGAACCACAAAGAGATTTATAATAAAAAAAATATAGAATCTTTTTATTTTTTCAAGAAAATAGAAAAAAATAAAATAAAATACCAGCTAGCTTTGGGACAGAGCTCCAGCAGCCATGGCCATAAGTGGTAATATGCTTAATGAGCTTCTCATCTTCCTCAGGAGACCAAAGCCCTTTCCTGAGCTTCTGCTTATAACAGCAAGAATGCCTTCCCATGGGGTTCCACTTAATAATCTCCAAGGGAAAATCAAAACCAGAATTTTTCAGAGGAGAAAATTTAAAAAAAAAATAAAAAAGTTTTTTTTTTTAATTTCTCAAAGGACCCAAGGGAGATGATGATGTAAGGAGAATATATAAGAAGAAGAATGTGTTGTGGAAAATGAAAGGCCAAAGTGGAAGGAAGTGAAGTGATATTGGAGGGCTTAGGATGGGAGAGCCCTATAAAAGACTTGAGGTCACATTCAGAGGATAATTCCCATTTTATTTTTTTTCTAAAAATGAAGGGTGTAAATTATTGTATTTTTTGAAAGGGTTTGGATTCTTGGTTTAATTTTTTAAGGAAATGTGAAGATGGAGGTCTCTATTAAATAAAATCTGATTTGCTGGGTCTTATCAGGGTTCTTGAGAAATAATTAATGAGTTTGACAGCACCTGTGGGGCATCAGGACAGATATTTATTTGGTGGAATAAAAATCAAAAAAAAAAGACCACAATTATTAATTGCAAACAACATTTAAAAAACCAGCGTTTTCAAAAAATAAATAAACATTGTGAATACTACAAATATGCAATTATGACAATTTTTTTTCTTCATGAACTTATTAAATTCCATCTATTAGGATTTCACCAAGGTGCTATACCGGTAAAGATCCATTTTATATCGGCTCAACATTTTTAATTTTATTATTTTTTTTGTAAGTTTTTAATAAAAAATTGAAAAACTTAATTTTTTAAAGTAGCAATTACAATATTTAAATATAATATTATAATTTTGTTATATACTCTATATTATTATAATATTAACTGTTGAATGTGGGCGACCCTGTCACGTAGATGGCTGGTATATATGATTGAGTTTTTAAGTGAATTCTTGAGATTCTTAGACTCTGTTCTTTTTTTGTTAAAAATTAGAAATTGAAAAAACGTAATGAAATATGAAAAATTATTCAAATATGTATTATATATTTGAAATTTTATATTTTTATTTCAAGTAAAAAATTTATATTTCATTACTTTTAATTATCTATTTTTATTTTTTCATCTCTTAAACTATTTTTGTTTCAAACTATATGCATAGTAATTTTCTTTACTCGTACTTCTTATTAATTTAACTTGAGCTTTTTAAATCAATATCAATAGTATAAATTCTTTTTTTGGTCCGATCAATAGTATAAATTCTTTTTTGGTCCGATCAATAGTATAAATTCTTAATTCTTAACTCATTTGATATCATGCACATAATATTCAATATTTATAGAGCTCGGTTTTATGGCCACTGGATTCCAGTGGCCATAGAACCGGCCTCATATTTATAATGTCAATAGTATTCTTAAACAATTCTTTGTCTAATGCCAATTTCATAACAATGCTCTTAAATTATTTTTAGTCTAAGACCAAATTCATATTGATATCAAAGCTCTTAAACTATTTTTGTTTTATGGCAAATATAAATAATTGGACTCTTATGCTGTATTTTAGTTCCATGCAGAATATAAGAATCGATGACCTATCCTACGAGTCCTATAGGTCACGCTCAAAACTTAACAACGGACTGCTCACCGTCGAATTGGGTGGAACCCCCAAATGAGTAGGTACTCAAGTTTGGTTTTTGGTTTTCAGTTTTTCCAACCCATCCACCTACATATGAATAAAATAAGCATTTTTTACTACTCAAATAAGCATATGCTTTATTAAATAAAAAAATTGATTTTTTATGTGAAAAAGTTCACAAACATTATATGCACCAAAAAAGCACTCTTATAAGAAATGAAAAACTATTTTGGGACAATCTGAAAAGCGAGGGGAGGGAGTAAATTGGGACAAAAGAGAATACATAATGTATATCATTATAAAATATAAAATCAAACTTTGATATCAAATTTAGAGGATATTTTTCTGTGCTTGTGCTTACTCGCTTACTACGTATTATGGATTAACAATGTTTAACTTATTAGTTGTTTATAAATATTCTTTTGTGGAAGTAAAATGACTTATATAATAAATAAGCCATTTAGGGATTTTCATAAGAGCACTGGAAATACTCTTGAAGTCCTAGTGCTTCAAAATTTCTCTCTCTGTGAAAGAATTATTTGGGAGGAAATTCTCTTTATTTTGAATTAGTTTGTGAAACTCTGGTCTTGAATACAAAGATCTAACCCTCTTTATATAGGAAGAAGGTAAAGTAAACAAGGAAATTCCTATTCATACTAAAATAAGAATTAAACAAATTAGGAAAAATACTAAATACTAAACATAATCCAACTAGGAAAGATACTAAATCTCATCCCAAAGGGATTCAGTTTTCTTCTTCAATCCCGCTTCCTTCTTCTCTCTCTAACACTTTCCTTCTTCCATCCTGCTTCCTTCTTCTATCTCTAACACCCCCCTGAAGCTGGAGCATGGGAGTTCAACATGCACAGCTTGGACATAAAAAAAACGTTCCCTCGATTCGCGCATCAATGCAAGCTTCTCCGGCAGGTCCCACGTGCAATTCCTACACGTATAAATTGGGAACTGCTCCAAACCTGCAAGAAACGTTTCCTCAGTTCGCGCGTTTGCGCAAGCTTCTCGAGCAGGTCCCACGTGCAATTCCTACACGTACAAATTGGGAACTGCTCCAAACCACAAAAACTGAGCAACGACCGATGGACGCGATGCCGGGCGATCGTGAACAGTAACCGCGATCAAGAGAAACTGCCGTCGGGATGGTCGACACACTCGACCATTCTTCAGCAACGGTCGACCGTTCCGGCACTTCAGCAGCAACAACAGGCGACGATCGGTGGACGCGATGTTGGTCTATCGGGAATAGTAGACGCGGAAAGAGTTGTTTGTCTCCGTAGAACAACCCTTGTCCGACCACTTTTTCAAGAATGAGGGGGGACAATAAAAAAAATAAAAAAATCACAATATCCCGCCGGTAGGCATTGAACTGTGTATGCCCACCGGTAGGATAAGAAGCGTGTTTGAGGTCTCGAGAATTAAAAATTGGCTCCGATACCATGAAAGAATTATTTGGGAGGAAATTCTCTTTATTTTGAATTGGTTTGTGAAACTCTGGTCTTGAATACAAAGATCGAATCCTCTTTATATAGGAAGAGGGTAAAGTAAACAAGGAAATTCCTATTCATACTAAAATAAGAATTAAACAAATTAGGAAAAATACTAAATACTAAACATAATCCAACTAAGAAAGATACTAAACCTAATCCCAAAGGGATTCGGTTTCCTTCTTCAATCCCGCTTCTTTCTTCTCTCTCTAACACTTTCCTTCTTCCATCTTGCTTCCTTCTTCTATCTCTAACACTCTGTCACGTCAGCTTTAACTTACCTCACAAATTCACTGAAAATGGGTTTGAAGCCCCGGAGCTTCAAACTGGGCTTCAAACCTTCATTTTTTACATTTTTAAATATACATCTTCTAAAACTAAATAAATAAAATGTAATTAATTTATTATTTAATTATATTGAAACACGAATAATAAAAAAATACATTCATTAAATTTAAAGAAATTGAAATGACAAAAATTACATTCATTAAACTAAAAAAAAGATAATAATAAAAAGATACATTAATAAAAAAACTAAGGTAAATTATATTTCGCCTTGATCTCTCTTTGTCTTTGCTCGTAGATCATCCGTTTGAAATTCGATAACGTAGAAAGGTCGGTTTCCATGATTTTGATCTCGTCCTCTTGCTCCTTTCGCTTCATTTTCTGCTCCTTTAGCTTCATCCTCTCTTCTTCTCGAAGATTGAACACCCGAAGTTGTTCAACCATTGTCCGACCGATTTCGTCGCGAGAAGAAACGGAAACAGAGCCGGACCCTCGCGAACCCGAGACAATGGATTTTGCCTTCTTTTTTCCGATCGGAAGTGGAATGGGGTCTTCATCATCGGAATCTTCAACGTTGAAGAGAGGCATTTATTCAGACGAACCGATAATGTCATCGACCTCAACCTCGGCGTCGACGGAGGATCTTTTCTTTGACGATCCGCCGTCGGGAGATTGTTGAGTTGTTGCCACTTCGGGGAACGGCTCAAAATCCTCCAAAGATCAATGGACACCTTGCCTTGGTGCCCGTCATCTTGATTCCGGGTCGTGGCAAGCCGGAGAACATCGGCGTCGTTCGTCCCGCTCCTCCGGGACCGGGCGCATTCCTTGTAAACTCCGATGAACTTTCGGACTTTACGGTTGATGTGGCTCCATTTGGAAGTGAGTTGGTCCCGGGTACGGTAGGAGCCGTCCTTGTTCATCGCCGTGAAGAACTTCTCCTCGATACGATCGCACATCGCATCCTTCATTTGCTTTGAACCTTTAAAAAAGTATAACACAAAAATTTTTTATGACACGATTAAATATAATTTTATATAAATAAAAACATAAATATATTAGAAAACATATAATTTTTACCAACGATAGGATGCTCGGAGACGTCAACCCAAGCCGACGCCAATAAGCACAATTCCTCCGGCGTCCACTTTTGGATTGAACGTGCCGCCTCGGTCATCGTGCCTTTTGCTTTGTGGCTTTTCCGGCGTGTACTTTTTTTGGAGCCGGATGGTCCCGGTTGAGTCTCCAGAACCAAATCTCGCTCGACGTACCCCGATTCTTGCGTCTCAAACATCGGAGGATGATCCTCGTATTGTTGGAAATACCACATTGCGTGCTCGAGATCATCGGGGAAGAAGTCGGAGTCGGAAGGATTCATGTTCAAAAGAGAGTTGGAGAATTGAAAATGTGAAGAAGATTGAAAAAGTTTGAAGGTGTGATAATGGGAGGGGGAGTTTGAAGTTTATAAAAAATTTAATTTTTCTTTTTTTGTTTTCAACGGCTCTAATAGCCGTTAGGGGGAGGAGGGGGAGGAGGGGGAGGGGAACCACCAACGTCATTTCTTTGACGTAGGCTCCATCACGCCTGGGTAACGCCGCCGGGGGGCGGTCTTTAACGCCCCCGGGGCGTGAAAAGCTCCATCACGCCGGTAGGCGTTAGGAGTATTACCAGTGCCCTAAATGGTAAAAGAGTTAAAATATATTTACATTACCAATTATGACCATGTATGATATCAAAAAGTATAGTAAAATATAATGCACAATGCCACATAATCGCAATGCGAACTCTTACTTAGAGAAAAAAAACATGAAACTTCTATTTCGTGATATTTTGTTTATGTTTTTCTCCAATTTAGAGTGATTTCTTTTAAAATAAAACTAATAATCAATTTTGACCGGCTTATAAGAACAGAAAAACGTCTCGCCCGAGAAGCTATAGGTAAAAGTACAAATACAGAAATTAATGAGGCATACGATGCCGTACTGATTCGACATTGTGTAGGTTAGCCATGCGCATATATACAACGT